CAATACGTATAAATGTCAAACTGTTGTTATTTCGATTGCTTTTCTATGTTTCATGGTGATTATCATCGAGAACGTTGTTGAATTCGTTAAAAAAAAAAAAAAAAAAAATAAAATAAAAATAGAAAGAAACAAAGTTGTTAAAGTCAGCATTGGTTTTGTTTTTTCTTTTTCATGATGTATCTGAGTATAAAAGTTAAACTACGGTGTATGGTAATTTCTAATGAGTATTGTTTTTTTTTTTTTGTTAAAATTATTAATTATCATGTAATTTTTCTTCTCGCATAAATTTTAAGGTCGATGACCGTGAGTGTGTAACGGTAAATACGAAAGGATGAAATTAAATCGTGGTTGCCAAGCCAAGCCAAGTCGACTGGCGTTTGCCTTCGGGTTTGATCGTAAAATCTTATGGTTGGTAGCTGTATTCTACGTAGAATAACGTATGCACGTAGATTATAATAGTTTCCTTTTATTTCAACGATATTAGAATACTTTAAATTGATGGAAGAATGAAAGTAACAAAGGTACAATCGTATGAACGTAATTTACTAACCATAAATACAATTGAAAAAAATAAAAGAAAGGTATTATATACAGTTAACTTGGTAACGAATGATATTACAACCCGTCTGTAACTCTCCTATGGTTATTTTAAAACATATGTGTGACGATGAACCCTTCAAGCGGAAGTTACACGCGCAGGAAGTTGCCTAGGTTCAACCGAATGCATAAGAACGATTTTGAGGGCCCTATCATTTCGTTGTGATCATTTTATATGTTTTCAAGTTGATGATTATCTTTTTATTAGCATGAAACGAGTTAAAAATTAATTAACGTTCTAAAATATTTTCTATTTAATTCTTACTTTTATATAGTAATTTCTTTTTTGTTTTTGTTTTTGAAATTCTTTTTATTTTGTGTGATTTTTTTTTTTTAACTTAGTATATAAGTTTTTATAGCAAATATTTTTATGTTGTATTGTTAATTTAAATATTTCATTATTTAGAGATTATCTAGGGGTCTTTAGGTACTATAATTTTTCAATAGATGACGGTGTATTACAATTCAATTATTTACATATGGCATAACTAACCTTACAAATTTACAATTATTTTATCTATTATTCGATAAAATGATCTTATACGATATATTTATTATTTAAGGGTTATCTAGGTCTTTAGGTTCTATAATTTTTCAATAGATGACGGTGTATTACAATTCAATTATTTGGATAATTAAATATGACAAAACTAACTTTACTTTTTATATTTTTTCGAATACTATTATTTTGTGTGTTGTTATAATTTAATAAATAATTTAGAATTATAATTATTCAATCAACATTTTATAACAAAGCCACAGCAACACGTATATACATTTATATATATGTCTAAAATATATATGTGTCTAGAAATGGTGAGACTAAAAGAGAGAGAGAGAGAGAGAGAGAATGATGACAGTGTGACGAGGCTGTAAATGGAATTAACAACGTTTGGACGATAAGTGACGTAGTCGCTAGATCTGATTCGATTAGGAAGTATATTTTTCGTTTGACGAGCAAACGGAGTCAATGGACTGACCGCGTTTTTCAAAGGCAACGCCTTATGGTGTCACTAACGTTCAAAATTATGAACAAAAAAAAAACAACAAATTATAAAAAAAAAAACTCCTTCATTGTAAAAAAAACATTTCTTTTCCTTTGTATAAACAGAGGACAAATATATTAGTCGTAAATCCAATAAAAAGAACATACACACACAAAAAGAAATACGTGGAATAATTAGAAAGAGACAGGAAGGGAAAACTATTGTCAAGGACACACTTATGATTCCCCCTTTTTTACGAATAAAACCCAGTTCATTTTCAACCCACGCGAAAATCGTATATGGAGTTGTTTTGGACGGAATGGGGGGAAAAAAAAAAAAACCAGGATTCTGCAATCCGCATTGCTAACTCACACGAATTGCGGACACCGTACACACTTTGTCGACTCTGTTAATTAATCAGAATGATTTATCGAAGAGGAATTTCCAATGTTGCATATGTGTGTGTGTGTATATATATGTGTGTATAGAATCGTTAGAGACGTGAGAAATAATTTCTCTTCGAACGTGAATTTTCAACATGATTCCACGGGTGTTCGGTGGTCATGTGATGTACGCCGCTTAAATTCTCGACTTGGTTGCGCGCGGGCGCATATATACGCTTTCAAAGGAACGAACGAACATGTTAGGTACTCTCGTTGCTATCGTATCTATGTATGTATGTATGTATGTATGTATGTATGTATGTATGCAGGTCAGAGAGATGGTTAGAATGATAGGAGATAGACCAGTCCAGTTTGCAGTCAAGAAGCGTGGCGTTGATATACACATACACATACATATATTCATTTATACATATGTAGAAACACGTGAACTCTCTCAGAGTCTGTGACCTCGGAAAACGAGACACTTCTTTTTAACTTAACGCGTCACGCGTTGTTTTAATTAACTCACGTAATCTATTTACCTTCCCTTCCTTATGTGATAAAAGTATTACATAGTACATTATGTATATGTATATATACCTATATTTATTTATTTTCAGAATCGACATGTAAAACGAAAAATGCGGATAAAAGAGAGGAAGAATTATGCGAATAAAGAGATAAAGATTCGTGATATTTACCAGGTTTCCAACTCTCACATAAGCGTGAGGTTATTTTATCCTTTTTGTTTAAGTTTATACATAAAATCGACTTGCATTTACATTTACACAAATGTATAAATTCGTTCCCTTGTTTAGACGTTAATACCTAGATGTATGTACGTTTATCGTGGATTATGATGTTTAACTGCGTTAAAACTCGTTCTTTGTGTATTTCTGCTAACACGTATTTCCCGCCATAATTCGTTGGACCAATGATTTATATTCTAATTCCCCTTGAAACATGATCCTCATGTCCGATTTTGTAAAATTTCATCGTTGAGTATTACAACGATCTTTTTTCTCCTTTTTTGTATTTAGAAAAAAAAAAAATAAATATGAATGAAAGGTAACAAAAGATAACCTCTTTGTGAAATGTAATGAACTTAAATAAATTGAACTTTAAATATATTTGAATTTCTCGTTATGATCATCATCATTAATTTTTATTTAAAAAAAAAAAATACAACAAAGTTACTCTACGTTGAAAATATTTACTCGAAGGACATTCCCTTGCATACTTCCAAGAAAGGAGGACTAATGTTAAGATATTCAAATGACGAAAGTTAAGTGCATCGCGTGGCGCATACGCAAGAGTTTCCTTCGTAAGTCAAAGTAGGCGTCGAGAAACTTGCAAAGCTTCTCGTCGACAATATTACTACAGATCCTTTCATGTTTAATCCTCTAAAACTAACAAGAGAGAGAGAGAGAGAGAGAGAGAGAAAGAGGCACACAGAGAGAAAGAAAGAAAGAGTTACGCTTATTTTTGATTCCTTTAGTGAACGATTAAAATGGAAGGAAGAGATTATTTTCTTTTTCGCGTGTTCGTTAGAGACACGTTAAAAATAGTTCACGAAACGTTCAAGCATCGCTTTGTGTCGGTCTAACGAGAAAACCCTTTTCATTTTTTACATTTCGAAAACAACTACGATGATATTTTTATTTTATAAAACGTTAATAATCAATGAAGTATTGGTTATGTTCAATGTCACGTATTTTGAAACAAAGGAATAATTAGGAAACATCAAAAAATGGGAATGAATATTATTTTCTAATAGAAAATGTATTTTGTTAGTTGGTATTATTGTACAAACGGATTATCGAAATTATATTTTTGTTTGTTTTTTTTTTTCACCTGATCGTTAGTGAACACGCATTTGACGTTAATCCAACTATGTGCTTTGACGGTGCAATTGCATCCGTCCATGGCGCATATCCCTGGCGCACTTTCGGCTAAACACAATGCTACATAGGAGCACAGTAGAACCACCACAGATATCATTGCACTGTGATTATTATTATTATTATTATTATTATTATTACTATTATTATTATTACTATTATTATTACACTTTGACCAACCAAATGCACCGAACACACTACATTTTCCACTCATTTTCATTATTATATTTTGACCACAAAGAATACAACGATGTTTTCCCTTCTTTTCTTCTTCCTACGTTCATCCAATAATAATAATAACAACAACAACAACAACAACAACAATAACAACAACATCAACAACGAGAGTAGAATCGAATATACGTCAGTTCATTGAACCAACTGGCCGATCATCGTCGTCCTTGATCGGACGGTCTAAAACTTTCATCGATTCTATCATAGCTCGTTTAAATTATGACCAAGAATAATGATTGGTTGATAGGATCATTTTTTTTGAATTGATCGCATTTTAATCGATTGCATTCGATAGATCAAACCCAATCAATTAATTAGAAAATATTCTATCCATTGATTCTTTTGTTGTTGTTGATTTAATGATCCTTTTAATTCCAATAAATTATTAATTTTGCTAACACGAGTAATGTTAGTTTGGGGAAGGATGGATAAACAACAAGATTTCTTGGTCGGATTTGGTAGGATGGGTGATTTTAAAGTTAGGCACGCACGAGGCCCGGTTCGTTTGCGAAGAGGCAGGCTAACTAAAGACCAGCTGACGCGATCATGACGGAGGTTGCTTTGAAACTGTGGTCGGTGGCATGCACGATCGGTGTCTACTCCCCCCACCTAGAAACCCGTGTGCCTTGCCTGTTACTCTTCTCTTCATATCTCTGTCTTCGTCTTTGTGTCATTGCCTTTAGTCTGTCTGTGTACGTATAGGTATATGTATGTATGTCTATCTTTCTTTCTTTCTCGTTTTCTTTGTCGTACAACTCTCTCTCCCGTGCCTTCAGGGAGAGCCTTTTAAAAGATAAAAGACCCTACGAGATACTTGAGAAGTAGAAAGAGGTTGCCCCTTTACACAGGTTTCGTGTCACGACTTCTTTCGAGACTCGTTTGTAGATGGGGAACGTTTATGGTATCCTAAGGGAACTCTGAATGTTTTATCGAAATCGACCCTGACCAAGTTTACAAACTTAATCTATTGTATTTTCTGTCTGAAAGAAAGAAAGTATCAACGACATGTGTATTCTACGTAATTCGTTTACATGTTATGCGTATGTAGGTACATCAATGCAACATGTATTGTCTAAAAAGGTTTTTCAGATACCATCGAACTATTTTTGTTGTTTCAAGTTAATTCCCAATGTAATTGCAAAAACAAAAAGCAGATTAAAACAAGACCGTATGAACTATGTACGGTTATTTCTAACCTAACATCTTCGTCTATGGTATTTCTCTAAAACGTTTTACCTTTCATATCTCTTCCCTTTATGAGGAGAAACCTGACCATTTAATTTCCCATGAGAAATTGCGCGTGTCCGTACTTCAACTATCCCAACTCCTCTTTTCATGTCTCTACGACACACGTGTGGAACTTCCATTCATTCATAACGTGCTTCTCAAACTGGGAAGCACCTGATGCTATTTGAAGTGGCCATTTTCGAAATGGCCACGTGCTGACCATACGTCAGCCAGCTGGAGGAATCAGAGAGAGAGCGAGAGAGAGTGAAATACAACCAACCTTAAAGCCGCACAGTCAATTTTGAACTATCGATCGTTGAATCGCACGTCCTCGTCAGGTTTACCTACCAAAAGCTTTTCACGTTTAGATCATCGATCTGATGTTACTCGCATATTACTTTGAAGGAACGCGAAATAAAATTTTGTCATAGGATCCTAGTTCCCTAAGGTTATTTGTTATGATCGCTCATGGCAAACTACGTGCTTTGGATGTTACTTTAATTTAAAAATGTAACCAATTCATATTATAAACATTTTAATCTCTTATTTTTATATTTAAAATTCCAAATACAATTATATATCTATTTGAAGATTAATTTGAAGATTAAGATATGAAAATTAGATGAAAAAAAATAGGTCTTCAAATTTCTCTGATTTGTTTTCGATTTGAAGAATTGACGAGAAATAAATCGAAGAATTCACGAAAGCTGACAGTAATCTAAGTCTAAAGGGTACTAAGTGAGCGACAGTTTGAGGCTGCCGAGAAGAGAATTGCGATGTGATTACACCTTATTAGGGATGAGTCGATCGTTCGTCAGGGGAAGCAGCGATTGTCTGGCTGTTAGAAGAGCATCGTACTCGGTTCGGTGTGATCTACCCAAGCGAGTTCATCCGCTAGTACCAATTAAGGATATCGCGAGTCTGAAACTTGTTCTAACGAACCTGTTACCTGAATTCATTCGTCAATTTCATCCAACTTCTTTTCGTTTCATTTCATTGACTCAAATTGATCACCCCACCCCACAATCTAATTTTCATTATTTTCTAAAAAGTTGTCTCAGAAATTATCACTGCAAACCACAAACAAATCATAATCGGTTTTTTTTCTTTGTTTGATTTCAGTTGTCACTCAAACGAACGACTTTTCTTAAGAGACTTCGTTTCTTGTTCAACCGGCACGAGTGGTGGTAGATTGGCGAGATGGCTTCAACCGGACAGCTTCGTGGATCCATCCCAATGCGAGGCTCTTTATTCCAGAGAGGAAATGAGATGCGGATGGCCCGCTATTGTAACCATACTCACCAGGGACCAATACGGCGAGATTGTGCACGTGCCTGGTTTAAAGGTGAAAAGCAATTTTCAATAATTCATGATCCTAACCCACTTTACACCACATTGCTGTTTGTCGTGAAATCTTTTGCTTCTTATTTAAAACAACGTAACAACAGTTCTTTTTTTTTTGTATTAAATATTTTGGTTAGGTCGAAGTAAAAGCAATTCCCATCGACAAAATGGATATAACTGGTACAGATCAAGGAAGAAAAATTCGTCGAGTTTCTCAATCCGATCCATTAACCTTCGGTGGTCATCCACAACCAAATTTGGATGTACCATACGAGGCCACAATCAGCAATAAGATGTGTTTTTATTCGATTACCATGATGAAGGCCTACGAAAATTATTCCTTCGAAGAATTAAGATTCATGTCACCTACTTTTAAAAGATCCAGTGAGAGTATGTTAGTAAGACCAAATAATGACGGTAGTTACAGTGCTACCTGGACACCTTGTTCAGTTGGTTGGTATTCTTTAATGATTACCGTTGATGGTTACAATATGGAAGATGTGAGTTGAATCACCTTTTTTTTTTAAGATTCTTTGTTCTTTCGTACAAAATTATTGACGATTATTTTCTTTAGAATTACAAGGTTGAAGTGAAGGAACCTCCTCAAGGTATGCAGCCACCGGCTCAAAATATCGTGAAGAAACACCAGCAACAACCGAGCAGAGTTAGAAAGTTTGTTTCTAAAAATAGTGCCGGATTGAGAATCAGGGCCCATCCTTCTTTGCAGAGCGAGCAAATAGGTTCAATTCCTATCAATGGTACCATATCGTTTATAGACGAGGTAAATCTTTTTTAAACCGTAGTTGCTATTGTTGAAAGTACTTTTAAACATTTCTTTCGATTACAATTTCCTATTGATTAGGTACACAACGACGACGGTGTATGGCTGCGATTGAGCGCAGAGACCATAAAAGATTATTGTAGTAGCGCTCAATTGGGTGCTTGGTGTCTGCAGTACAATCAACATCTAGGAAAAACCTTATTACTTCCAGTAGAGGAACCTAAATCGATTTTAGATCAGGTCATAAAAGAGACCATTCTTCGGAAGAGAGTAGATTCTGGGGAAGAGTAAGTAGACTTTTATATTTTTCTTTCGATAATTCGATTTAACACGTACTTTAACGTACGTGTGTTTGTGTTCTCGTTTTCAGCAAGAGGCAGTCAGTACGTCTGGCGGGTGGTAAAAACATGGTCGTTGTTAAATGCGGAGCCTCGGGACACAATATTCGTAGCAAACCCAGTTTAAAGGCTGCACCAGTAGGAATGTTGGCTTTTGGAAATACAGTAACAATTTTGGAATACGTTAGTATCATGATTATTTAAAACCAAAACAACAAAAAAATGAAAATATGATACTATAAATTTGATCATTCTCATTAAACATTTCACAGTTCACGAATAACGAGGGTGCTTGGGCTCGTATCGATGATGAATCAGCTTCTAAATATTGCTTCGACAAAAATCGTTGTATCGATAGTGAAGTTTGGTCTCTAGCAATTAATAAACACGGAGTGGAATACATGAAGTTCGAGCAAGAACCAGAATCCGATCCAGTTGAAAAGAAAATAGCATTACCCGATCAATCTGTTACGTTGAAAGATCAGAAGACCAACAAAGGATTTGATTTTTCCGTACCATCCGTGAGTCACGAAGGTTTCAATTTTACAACTCAAAATTTTACACCAGGTACAGGAGAGTCTGGCGAAAATAGCAACACGAATCCTTTTGTTTTTGGTTCATACAATCAACATGATTCACCAGGTATTTTTACGTTTATCAATAATGAAACGGGAATCGTTATTTTATTTCTGAGATTGATTTTTTTTTTTACAGGTAGCGAAAAATTTGCATTAGACAAGACAGACGTCTCGCCGAAGTTTTCTAAAGCGCACTCGAAAGAAAGGGTCGTTAAGGAACGGGAAAGGGAAGGAGGCGGAAAGTTCAGCGTTTTGCAGAAATGGTTGAGAGGAGACGACAAAAGTCACGCCGAGAAAAAAAGTTCTCCAGGCAGGTAAGTGGAAAAAATCTTCTCTCAATCACATTTAAAAAAAAAAAAGATAAACAAATTTATAAAAGTTAGTTGAACAAATATTAACGAAGAGTTTATATTCTCCAGAGATTTCTCAGAATTCGTTGGAGTATCCGTGAAGGAATTAGTTAAAGCAATGGGCGAGAGTCGTGCTAATGGAAATGGAGCAACACCACCGGAAACACCAAGGAGAATGTCAAGAAGCTCATCACCAAAGAATCCCCAAGGTGGGTCACCACGATTTCAAAGCCCATCCTCTAGTCCGGTTCCGATACCCGGTACGTATTAAATATCAGTTACCTGTTCAAAGGATTAACTACTGCCCTACTATCTCTGCCATATTATTCTGTAAATTCACACATCACTTTTATTATTTCATTTTCTTCCATGGCATTCCTGTAAAAATGGAATTTTTTCAGATCCTGAGAAATTCGGTTCTCAGACTTGTAAGATCATTTAGTATTACTTGGGTATTTTTGTATTGCATATAAAGCTTTTATTATCAAAATATACATAGAGAGTCTAGCACCTACAAATCAAAAGTGCTAGTTTCTATGTCCTTTTTTTTTTCAAAGTATATTATTTTCAATTAGTAGATGTATCCAATATTTGACGTTTGTCTTAGCTGAACCTGGCCAACAACCAGCTGGTTTTGGTAATCATCTACATATAACTGCTGCTAGTGCCCCTGTATCAGGTATTGAATCCTTCTTTTAATTTGCTCGTTAACATTTTTATAATATTAATAATAATAGTAATTAAAATATTCCTTATTTATTATTTAACCTATTATTTTGTTTCTTTGTGTATTAAAGCATGAAAGTAGATATGAATGATTTGTTTGTTATTCATTTTGATACCTTGCTACTTTGTTCATTTTGTAGTAACCATATCATAATTGCAAATGAAGTTAATAAACTTGTTTGTATAAAATACTTGACACATCACAATACATTCATCAATTAATACAAAATTACC